CAGTGGCTGCGGACAGCTTTATAGGTTGCATCTTATCCCCTTGCACCACCAGGGATGCCCGAGAATGGCACATATTAAAAGACCTTCAACAGTAGGTGCTGGAGAGGATGCTGAGGAATCCTTCTATACTTTTGCTGGGAATGTAAACTCGTGCAACCATTTGGAAATTGGCATAAGGTAAATTTGCATTTACCTCAAAAAGCTGAAAATGGAAATACCATATGACCCAGTAATCCCACTCTTGGGCATCTATCTAAAGAACACTAAACCATTAATTAAAATAATTGTATGGTCTACAATGTTTATTGCAGCATTACTTATAATAGAACATGGAAACAACCTAAGTGTCCACTGATGGAGGATTGGATTACGAACACATGGCATATACACATGATGGAATACTTACTATTCAACCATAAGGAAAGACAAAATGTGGCATCTACGTACAACAAGCGAGTCATAATGACAGACAAACATTGTACATTTATGCAGTAGATGATTCAATAAAAAACAAAATACTTAAAAAAATCTAGTGGACACTAAAATAGTGAAGTGAGTTTTCTGAGGTTAAGAAGGAATAGAGATGGAAAAACGGTCCGAAGGATATAAGTGGTGGTGGTGGGAGAAAAATGAAATCACACAAAGTGTCAAAAATTAAAAGGTGGCTACTAGAAAAAAAAGAGAAAGGGGTTTAATTGATGGGTCATATACCAGAAGGGGCTGGAAATTAATCCCATCAAGTGCATATTTAGAAGGATAAACATTTATTTTATGACTACTATGTAAATGGATCATCTGTACACTAGAAATGAAAAGATCAATGACAATATGTGGTACCTCTCTTACAGGAGCTTAAGGTAAGTTCTGTGGGAGATACAAAGCTGTAAACAGATGCATTATAAGAGTTGCTGCTTTAGGGCCTCCCCTGGTGGCACAGCGGTTGAGCGCTGGGCTGCAAAGCTGCCTGCAGCCTCTGCAGCGCCAGTTCGATCCCCAGCCACCGGCGAGGGTCCCACATGGTGCGACAGACCTCTCCTGCTGCGCCTGCTGCTCCCCTCAGCAGTGTACTTCGGTCCTTCTGCCTGTTCTGTTCCCTGGTCTGGCTCTGGTGAATCCTCTCACCCTCCTGCGCTTCTGACTGTACCCAGTGCTTGTACGAATAAATAAATAAATCTTTTTTAAAAAAAGAGTTGCTGCTTTAAAAGAAACATTTTTTTTTTAAGATTTATTTTTATTTATGCATACAAGAACTTGGGTGCAGGCCAGAGGGGGTGAGAGGATTCACCAGAGACAGAGTGGGGAGCAGAACAGGTGGATCTATTGAAATACATTGCTGAGGGGAGCAGCAGGCGAGACAGGAGAGGTTTGCTGCACCATGTAGGTTAGCTCCTTGGCCAGGGATTGAACTCATGCCACATTGGCTGGTGATAACTTAAAAGTGCTGAGACTTTTAACTCCTGTGCCACTAAGGAGGCCCAAAACATGAAGTTCTACAGTAATGAACAGCTATGCAGTGAAAACTAAAAAGATTTTGAATTTTTTGGTAAGAAAAGAGGTATTTTAACTTGAAGAGGGGACTTAGATATTGTATAAGGACGCACATGAGTTTTTCTTTTGTTAAAGTGGAAAGTGAAGTAAATTTTGAAGATACAGTAGGAGGATATGGCATGTTATAGAGCACTTGAAGAATATGAAAAATGGCTTTAACAATTGTGGCAAATGCCCTAAAAAATCCACAAAGAAGGAAACTAATTTTTACTGAGCATCTTCTATATAATTGACATGGTATTAGGAGAGAACATTCCTGCTTACTGAACTGAAGTGAGGGTCCAATTGAAAGTATAAATTTGCAGTGGATTCATTCAGCATGTTTTACTATCTTTGGATTGATTGTGTTGTCATTAGCATTTAGTAGCATATTAGGTGGTGGTCAGTCTTTTAAATTCTTTGCATAATGACAATAATTAGTTGCTGTTGAGAAGCAGTTGAAATCAGACCTCAGAGGTTTTATTTTTCTTAGGGAAAATCTAAGGTTCATTGATCCATCAGTGCAAGTTATAATGCTTTATGGATTTTCTAGGATATGATTCTTGGGAGGTTTTCTTTCTTTACTAGAAGTGAGTACCACTTAAGAGCAAATAATGTCCTTTATTACAATTCTTGGCACTGATGGTAGTTTTGACTGCTGAAATTGTTCACATTTTTGTATACTGACTGCCTTACAGCTTACCAAATGCTTCAAAATCTATGACTTCATTTGATCTTCGTAAGATTAATCTTATACATGACTATCTCTATTTTATAATTAAAGACATTGAGGCTTAGAAAGATTGTGACTTGCCTAAGTTTAGTGGACAAGTGAAGTGGAAATGCTTGGAATCCAAAACCTGTATCCGTATAGGCTTGGCATCATCCCAGACCTAATGAATCAAAATCTCCAAGTAGTAGGACTTGGGCATGCAATTGCCAAAAAGCTCTTTTGGTGAGTGACAGAGATTGTACAACACTATATGTTATTTTCTTATTCATTCATTCGTTTTTCTTCTCTTGTGGGTCATCTTTCTATACCTATTGTTCCTCTTAGGTATGGCCCTCCATCCATGTACCACCACCAGCTCTCCTGTGTCTTCCTACCCCGCTCTGATCACTCCTACTCCTCCCTTGCTGCAAGACATAGATAGATGATTGGTCCACAGGCCTTGTCTTTTTCCTGGAACCTTGCCCCTTTCCTGGATGAGGACCTAGGCTCCTGGGCCATAGCAGACCAGGCTGCTCAGATCCCCAGGAGCAACTGGGAGGCAGGTAGTAAGGCAGAGCTGTTCAGGAACCTCTTGTAGGGCTGCTGTGGAGTTGTCCAGATTCTTTGATTTTGGAACTTCTTGTGCTGTAGGAGACTGTCCCATTTTTTCCAGGCCAGTGTGGTCTCTGGGTTCCGTGCCTCCTCATTCATGCTGATTGTACTATCCTTTCTGGTGACTGTCACATCATGCTGCTTCTGAGTCTTATACTTCTGGCCTTGGGAACCCTGCTTCCCTCCAATGTCAGTGGAGAAGTTTCCCTGTGGGACAGACTCCAGTAGATGGTCGGACCAGCCCCTCTAGTCTCCTTTCATGGTTGCCAGCCCTGCCCTCGGTCCCAAGTCACATCTCTGATGTTTTCCTCCCCCAGCTGGAAAAGCAGAAAGCCTCACTCACGTTGCACACATCTCTGGGCCAGGGGTTTGGTTCCCCAGCCCTTGGAGACGTTGTAGGTGGAACTCATGTGGTAGGTCACCACACCAGCTTGTCTCACGGTACTATTTCTTGTAGATCCAGCCGTGCTCTGTTTGGGTCTGCCTTAGACAATGTCCAGGGATTTGATTTGTCCCTTTTGTCTCCTGAAAGTCTGCAGCAGGAGTGCCTGAATTATAGATGTCTTATACCAATCTGATTGAAGTGGGAGTCAGAACAGAGGGGATACCCCCCTCTTGGTGCATGGCCTGGCCCCTACACCTGCTTGAGATCTAGGCCATTCAGGGGTATGTTGGGGCCCCCTGCCCGAGACCCAGGCCATGTAGGGGCACCCAGCTGGTACCTCCAGCCTGACTGGGTCAGGTCAGGTCTGATCCCTTGGAGGCGGAGCTTTGCATTCGCCTCCCCTGGCCTTCGATAGCATGCAGAGGTGGCTCAGTCCCCACCCCAGGCCCACAAGGAGGTGTAGGCTGGCTCCCCAAGCCTGAGACCCTTAGACACTGAGACCTCAGTGGCACAGGGCTCACCCTGCCCCCACCCCTGCCTGCAGCATTATATCTTACTGCCTCTTTTTAAAGACTTTTTAGTTGAATTCTCTATCTTTCGTGTTTGAATGTTGATTTCTGACATAAGGAGATGAATACTTTTCAAAATTAGCTTGACTCATTAGGGCTTTTATTTCCTCTAAGAAAAAAATCTAAGTAATGATAAACACTTTACTCTTTTAACATTAAAAGCTTATATTGTTTTACATGGTATAAGAACAGAGGACAACATCCTCTAAGATGAGGTTTTTCTTTTATAATATTTTCTCCATCTTGAATAATGAATCAATCAGCAAGTATTCATAAAATATTTAGTATAGATGGGAATATTATCTTGTAATTTCTATAGATAAATAGAGATTTGGCTTATTGGGGTTTTTATGTTATTTTTCTGCCCCTTTAACAAAAACTATAATTAAAACCTTAGAGAAGGGTATCCATCAAGATGTCAGATTCAATATTCAGCAGATAGTGGAGAAAACTGAAGAGAAGCTGGCTTCTTATATTCTTTGTCTTTCCTTCTTTCAATACTTTTCTTATCTAAAACACAAGAATATTTATCACATAAGGAAGAGAAAATATCAAATGTAGGACTTTTCCCCTAAAAAGTTCTTTATGACATTATTTTCTTGTAAGTGTCCATTTTTTTAAATGACTGGGCAGATAAATTCTTAAATTTCTGAAGCAAGCCTCTCCTACAAAGTGCCTAGGTACTGTTCAGTCATAAAATGGTAGAGATGAAAGGAATCTTAGAGATAATTTTGTACAATATCCTTTTTTTATAGATGAGGTTACCAAAGCCATGAGAACATAAGGTTTATGGTTATTTGTAATATATGAGTAACTGTTCTGGCTCCAAAGTGGGGTTGTACTAAGCACCTCCTCTAGTGTGGAGATAAATACAAAAGCTATTCAAGCTGAGGAAGCATCTATTAGGCATTGCATTATATCATAAGGTTGCATACCAGTTTTGCCATTTCCAGAAAAAGTAAATGACTTCCAGGCATTTGGTATCAATTCTGTGTTTCCAAAGGTTCTTACTTCTTATTTCTCTGTATTTTGAGATGGCTATTATATTTAACTTGAACAATTAGCAATGTTTTTAAAAAGATTAAAAAACAAATCAAGACAATACCAGTTAAAAATAGGTTAAACTGACTTATATACAAATAGCGTGTTACTTCATTTTAATCAATTTTTGGCCTTTTTTTTTTTTCTTTACCAGGCAGTTGCTCAAGGTGATTTTCAAAGAGCATCTACCTGTATACTGCGCTGTAAAGATATGTTGACAAGACTCCCCAAATTGGTAAGTGAAAATATGCTGTATCAAGTCCTAGAAAGAATAATTACTATTTCACTTAGCCTTTTAGAGATAAGTGTTTTATATCAGTTTTACTTAGCTGATCATTGAAATGTTTTGCTTTCTTTGTTCTTTTTTAAAATTATTTTTTTCTTACATTGTCTGTTTTTTTTTAAAGTGCCTCTCTTTTTATTTTTCCTTTTTCTAATAAACCTGTCCTTTTATTTTTTTAATTTAAATTTTATTTTTATATTCCCCATACAAATTGCAACCCCCTTATTTTGACCCCAAGCCCTCCTTTCCCCGCCCCCACCCCCTATAAAGTGTCTCTGGTTCGTAGTTGTTTGTTGATTTTTTCTTTCTTATAGTTATTTTTTTTTCCTGGTCCCTTTTTTAAGTTTTCTAGATTCCTGCTATGAGTGAGACCATCTGGTATTTTTCTTTTTCTTACTGACTTATTTCACTGAGCATGATCCCTTCCAGCTCCATCCATGTTGCTGCAAATTGCATGTCTTTATCTTTTTTTTGAATGCTGAATAATATTCCATGGTGTATAATTACATTGTCCATTTTTGAACAGTATTTGATTTCTCCCCTCAGTTGTAGTTCCTGTAGTTCCCCACCACCATAGCTCCCATGATTATCTCTATCATCCCTTATGTTCTTTCATCCCCTGTTTTGACACCCCCCCCCACTATATGCCTCAGATCTATGGTCAGTTTGCAAGTTTTGTTTTTGTGGGACCCTCACCAGTGGCCGGGGATGGAACCGGCGCTGCAGAGGCCACGGGCAGCTTTGCAACCCAGTGCTCAACCACTGTGCCACCAGGGAAGGCCCTGCAAATTTTGTTTTTGATCCTTCTTTTGGTTTCTCTATATTCTGAATATAAGTGAAATCATCTGATATTTGTCTTTTCCTTATAACTTATTTTGCTTAGCACCAACCCTTCCAGCTGCATCTGTGTCACTGAAGATGGCATGAGTTTATCTTTTATGATTGCTGAGTAGTATTCATTGTGTATATATACCACATCTTTTTGATCCATTTATCTGGGGGTCATTTAAGTTGTTTCCGTATCTTGGCTATTGTAAATAATGCTGCAATAAATATAGGAGTGTAGGTTTTCTTTTGAATTAGTGTTTTTGTGTCCTTTGGGTAGATTCCTATGAGTGGAATCACTGGATTATGTGATAGATCCAATTTTAATGTTTTGAGGAACTTCCACACAGCTTTCCATATTGACTGGACCATTTTATTTTATTTTATTTTATTTTTTTTTTTTTTATCTTAAATTTTATTTTTATATTCCCCCATACAATTGCAAATGCCCCATTCTGACCCCAATCCTTCCCCTCCCGCCCCCCACCCCCAAAAGTGTCTCTGGTTCATAGTTTTTGTTGATTTTGATTTTCACTTTCTTATATTCATTTCCTGGTCCTTATTTAAGTTTTCTAGATTCCTGCTATGAGTGAGACCATCCGGTATTTTTCTTTTTCTTTTTGGCTTATTTCGCTGAGCATGATCCCTTCCAGCGCCATCCATGTGCTGCAATTGCATGTGTTTATCTTTTTTGAATGCTGAGTAATATTCATGGTATATATGTACCACATCTTCTTGATCCAGTCATCTACTTTTGGGCATTTGGGTTGTTTCCAAAGCTTAGCTATTGTAAACAGTGCTGCTATAAACATAGGGTGCAGGTGCTCTTTGGAATTGATGTTTCTGTGTCCTTTGGGTAAATACCTAGGAGTGGAATTGCTGGATCATATGGAAGCTCTATGTTTAGTAGGTCCAGAAATCTCCACACAGCTCTCCATAGTGGTTGGACCAGTTTGCACTCCCACCAACAGTGCAGAAGAGTTCCTTTTTCTCCACATCCTCGCCAACATTTGTTGTTGCTAGTTTTTTTAATATGTGCCATTCTCATTGGTGTGAGATGGTATCTCATGGTAGTTTTGATTTGCATTTCCCTGATTGCAAGTGAGTTGAACATTTTTTCATATGTCTGTTGGCCATTTGCATTTCCTCTTCAGAGAAGTTTCTTTTTAGCTCTTCTGCCCATTTTTTGACTGGATTATTTTCTTTGTTGTTGCTGAGTCTCATCAGCTCTTTGCAGATTTTTGTGATCAGTTTATCATTAGTGTTGGGTGCAAAAATGTTCTCCCAGTTGGTGGGTTTCTCTTTGTTTTTGTTATTGTCTCTTTTGCTGTGCAGAAGCTCTTTAATTTGATGTAGTCCCAGCTGTTTATCTTTGTCTTCACTATCACTGCTTTGGGTGATGTGTCTGTAAAGATGTCTTTGATGTGCAAATCCCGTAGTGTTTCGCCTATATTTCCTTCTATGTATTTTATGGTTTCAGGTCTTATGTCTAGTTCTTTAATCCATTTTGAGTTGATTTTTGTGTATGGTGTGAGGTAGTGGTCAATCAATCAACGTTATCCAACACATCAACAAAAAGAAATATAAAAACCATATGATAATATCAATAGATGCTGAGAAAGCTTTCGACAAAGTGCAACACCCATTCATGATAAAAGCCCTTGAAATTCTTGGGATACAAGGAACATACCTCAACATCATAAAGGCCATCTATGACAAGCCAACAGCCAGTATCATTCTCAATGGTGAAAAGCTGAAAGCAATTCCATTAAGATCTGGAACAAGACAAGGATGTCCACTCTCACCACTGCTTTTCAATATAATACTGGAAGTCCTAGCCAGAGCAATAAGACAAGAGAAAGACATCCAAGGAATCCAAATAGGAAAAGAAGAGTCAAACTATCACTATTTGCAGATGATATGATAATATACATAGAGAACCCCAAAATCTCCACAGAAAAACTAATTCAACTCATCAGTCAGTTCAGTAAAGTGGCAGGATACAAAATCAACACGCAAAGTCAGTAGCCTTCCTATACACAAACAATAAATCTGAAGAAGAGAAATAAAAAAAACCACCCCTTTTATTATTGAAACAAAAAAAATCAAATATTTGGGAATAAATCTAACAAAAGAGAGGTAAAGGACCTATACAAAGAAAACTAATAAAACACTGTTAAAAGAAATAGAAGAAGACACAAAGAAATGGAAAGACATTCCCTGCTCATGGATTGGAAGAATAAACATTATTAAAATGGCCATCCCAAAAAAGCGATATACAGATTCAATGCTATTCCAATCAATCTCAATGGCATTCTTCAAAGAAATAGAACATTATTGATGAAATTCATATGGAATCACCAAAAACCCCGAATAGCCAAAGCTCTACTGAAAAAAAAGAAGGAAATGGAGGCATCAAACTCCCAGACTTCAAACTATACTACAAAGCCATAATCATCAAAACTGCATGGTATGGAACAAGAACAGACATACAGACCAATGGAATCGAATAGAAAAATCCAGAAATAAACCCACAGATTTATGGTCAACTAATCTTTGACAAAGGAGCAAAGACTATGCATTGGAGCAAAGAAAGTTTGTTCAATAAATGGTGCTGGAAAACTGGGTCGCTACATGCAAAAGAATGAAGCTTGACTGGACCATTTTAAATTTCCCACCAGCAGTGTGAGCATGTTCCTTTTTCTCTACATCCTCACCAGCATTTCTTGTGTCTAGTTTTAATTTTTTTTAATATTTTATTTTATATATTTCTTACATCATTTTTCATTTTTGCATGATGTAGCATTTTCATTAGGTTATATTCCCCATACAATTGCACCCCCCTTATTTTGACCCCAATCCCTCTTCTCCCCGCCTCACCTCCCCCCCCCCGCCCCCGTCGTGTGTGTCTCTGGTTATAGTTGCTCAACCGCCTGCGCCACCAGGGAGGCCCTGATTTCAATCTTAAAGAATTTGCTGATAGCTGTCTTGTGACCCAGTATGTGATCAGTCCTGGAGAATGTCCCATGTGTACATGAGAAAAATGTATATTCAGCTTTTTGGGGGATGCATTACCCTATAATGTCTATTAAGCCTATGTTGTCTAATTATTTGTGGAAGGCTATTGTGTCCTTCTTTATGTCTAGTTGATATGTCCATTGGTGAAAGTGGGGTGTTGAAGTCCCCTGCCATGAATATTTTCCCCAGTATCTGTTTCCAGATTTGATAGTAATTGTCTTATATATTTTGATGCCCCTTCATTTGGTGAGTATACATTGATAAGTTTTATTTCTTCCTGATATATTGTTCTCTTGTAATATCATGTCCATTCCTGTTCTTCGTTAGCTTTTTAATCTGGAAATCTATTTTATCGGATATAGGTATTGTTGTCTCTGCCTTCCTTTAGGTTCCATTTGCTTGTTGAATCGTTTTCCAACCCTTTGCTATGAGCCTATGTTTATCTTTTTAGCTCACTTGGGTTTCTTGGTGACAACAGAAATTTGGATTCTGTTTCCTAGTCCAAAGAGATACTCTGTGTCTTCAGTCTGTGCCTTTAGTTGGTGAGTTTAGTCCATTTACATTTAGAGTAATTATTGATATATGAAAGTCTGTTGTTGCCATTTTGTACTTAATATTTGTGATTATGTATATTTCCATTGTAGTCCTTTTTTTTAAAGATTTATTTATTTATACAAGAACTGGGGTACAGGTCAGAGGTGTGGGAGAGTGAGAGAGAATTTACCAGAGACAGAGCAGGGAGCAGAACAGGCAGAATAACCAAACACACTGCTGCAGGGAGCAGCAGGAAAGACAGGAGAGGTCTGCTGCGCCATGTGGGTTTTTTCCTGCCTGGCTGGGAATCAAACACGCACTGCAGAGGCTGCGGACAGCTTCACAGCGTTGTGCTTGACCTGCTGCACCACCGGGGAGGCCCTCCTTTTGTAGTTTTTTGTGTCTGTTTCTCTCTTTAGTTTACATAGAAAATCTTTCAATATTTGTTGGGGTGAAGGTCTAGTGTTTGCAACTGCTTCAGTCTGTTTGTTTGAGTAGGCCTTTATTTCTCCCTCATACATGAAGGAGATTTGCAGGATAGGGTATTCCTGACTGATAGTTTTTATCTTTAAATATTTTGATCATGTTATTCCAGTCTCTTCTTGTGCATAAAGTTTCTTCAGAGAAGTCTGATGTTTGCTTGGTAGGGGCTCCTTCTTAGGTTATCTCCTTCCCACTAGCAAGCTTCAATACTCATTCTTTGTCTTGAACTCTCGAAAGTTTTACTACTGTGTATTTCGGTGCAGGTCTCATTGTGCTTATGTACCTTGGTGTTCTTTCAGCTTCATGGATATGTATATTTATTTCTCCAGGTTTGGGAAGTTTTCCTCTGTTGTTATTTATTTATTTTTTGTTAAAGATTTATTTGTTTATACAAGAACCAGGGTACAAGCCAGATGTGTGAGAAGGTGAGAG